GCACTATTTTAAAGGATATTGACAAAATTATCATTTTAAATGCGTATATCTTAATTTTGTGTAATTTTGTCTCTAGCTATGAAATTGGAAACTCAAGGGACCCTGTAAGATGCAATCACAAAATTATTTAAGCAGGTGTCAGAACCTGGAGGGATCTTGCATGGTTGTATCATTATTAAAAACATATGATTTGACATCAAATAGTCCTGTGTTTTGATCCTGTCTTTGACATTTAGTTGTTGTGTGACCTTGGATAAACTATTTTACCTCTTTGAGCTTCTATTTTCTTATATATGAGATGTGGGTCATTATACTTAGCTTATAGGATTATTATGAGAAGTAAATAACAAATAAAAAGTGATTATCAGAGCATCTAATATATAGCAAGCATTTGACTATGATAATAGCACTTGGATAGATGTATAATTTTTATTTGATATTTGCTATCTTATTTAAAAATTGAAGCTTTTCTTAAGAAGGAAAATGTGGAGGAAATAATCGATATGGGAGGGAAAAAAAAATCCCAGCCATTCCAAGCCAAAAGCTCTCCACCTCTCAGACTTCTCCACCTTTATTTTGTTTAATAATCAGGAGAAAAATCCCAGCCATTCCAAGCCAAAAGCTCTCCACCTCTCAGACTTCTCCACCTTTATTTTGTTTAATAATCAGGAGAAAAATCCCAGCCATTCCAAGCCAAAAGCTCTCCACCTCTCAGACTTCTCCACCTTTATTTTGTTTAATAATCAGGAGAAAAATCCCAGCCATTCCAAGCCAAAAGCTCTCCACCTCTCAGACTTCTCCACCTTTATTTTGTTTAATAATCAGGCATCTCCAGCTTTCCCTGGAAGTTTCAGCCCATGAGTCCCCAGATGCTCCTCCCATGCCTGAGTTTGACAAACATTTATTCTCACTTAGTTTAACTAAGACAAATTATGGAAAGGAAAGAAGGATTCTGTCTGTGCCTAGGAAGTTACGTCAGTTAAGGAATCTGACACATAGAATCCTCTCAAGGGGCTTCCCTTAAAAGAAAAGAACTAAGAGCATGGCACTGTCCCACGACATTGGCCGGGCTTCTGTCTCCCAGTTCATTGTCCTTTGATGTCCTAGAGAGTGATTTCTGTTTTTGTCTTCAGGGCTGCTTCTTCCTAACTCTTCTTTCATTTGTGTTTTTCCTTTAATGGCAAAGGCAAGGACTTTAGTGTTGCCAGTTCAAAAAAAAAATTATAAAATCCAAATTCAGTAAATAAAGCTGAATTTCATGGAACAGCAAAAAAGAAAAAGAAATCTGACTGGAGCCAGGAAAATTCCTCAAAGAGACAAAATGCCTAGCCATCTGAAAAACAGTTAGTTAAAGGATAAGCAAGGACAGAAAGAGATGGAGGTAGAATTGATAGGGAAATATATTACACTTACTACCTCTGTGCCGTTATTTTAGTCACAGAAATACCATGTGATGGGGATAACTATTTTGGTATATTCTCTGGCAAATACACTTTTCTGAGAAGCTTCTCCCCACAGTAATTCTCAGCAGCTCTGCCAATGTTCCTCTCCTGCATTCCCTGCCTAAATTCAGAATTATCTGAGCTGGTCATTAGCACCTTTCTTGATGCTTTGGAAACAGAGATACTCCTGAGTGCCCATAAGAAAGGTCAACCCAGTGAGAAAGCTCATCACTTATTCTCCTTTAAGGCCAGTTGGCTGCCTACCAATTTTTTAAATAAAAGGAGCCACTATTAAATTTGTGTTCAAAGAGCATACTTGATGCAGGAGGATAGAGCCCATATCTGTATTTTTCTCTACTGCATTTCCAGCCTAGAGTTGACACGCAGTAGATGCTCAGTACACTTGTTGGCTAGATAGATAACTGGATGGATGGATGGATGGATGGATGGATGGATGGATGGATGGATGGGAGAATTATGAAATCATGAAGCTCCTTCTGGCCCTGACAGGCATGGTCATTCTTCTCTTTTCTGCCTGAGAGTAGGTGGAATAGGAGATCTGTATTACTCCATGGCTTCTCTTGCTTCAGTTCCCACGTTGCCAACCTCACATGAGGAGATTCCTATACATTTTTAAAAACTGGCAATCATATCACTGTCTCATATTTCTGTTATCACTTCTGGGAGAATCTTAAAATATTCTCTCCTCTGAATAACACTTCTCTTTTGTTAAGGGAAAATGTCTATATAAGTGTCTTTCATAATTATCTAAAATCTAACTAGAATTTAGAGTTTCATGTGGTCTCGTCTTGACAAGATATCCCAATTAAGAAAATGCAAACTAGCTGGCAAAATTAATTTGTTTAAATTTCAATATTTTCTGAAAATTTTCAGACAGTGTTCTGCAATCTCAAACAATGCTATTCCTAACCAAAGCAGCTTTTATGTCTCTGTTCCCATGTCTTGCTTTTAATATGTCTCACCTTCTCCAACTGCCTCCGTTTTTCTCTGTCACTCAGTCTCTACCTAAAACTCACCCAGCAAACCAAATTGGTAAGCCTCTTCTCATTTCCCCGTCTCCGTTTTTTTTTTCCTACCTCCATTCTTTTCTTCCGTCTTCTCTCAGATCAGTCAATCTTGGTCCTTTCTAATGCAAAGCTGCCATCCCTGCTTTATGAGTTAGTCCAAGTCCTCATCATAAAAACATATGACTGGAGTTGGCATTCACAAAGTTGTCTTTGAAATGGGGAGTAAGGTGACAGAAGAGAAAAAGAAGGGCTCTGGATTCTCACACATGTTAATAATTTTTGCAGATCATATATAAATGGGATTTTGCAGAGAAGAACCTAGAAAGAAATGGAGAGAAATAGACAGGAAAGGCAGATGAAGGAACGAAGAGACACAGCTCCCAAAAGAAAGTTAGCCTTACAAAAACCAAGACGATAAAAAGAAATGCTTAAGTTTAGGGAATCCAGTGGAAGCAGTGATTTAAGGTAAACAAAAAGTGAAGCTTAAGTTGAAATGAGAAGTGTAGGATTTTCAAGTTTAGTTTCTGGGAGTGTAAAAATAACCTAACAATTGTGATGTCAGAGGCTGAAAGATTATAATTGTCATTTGACCTTGGGGATAGAGGAAACATCTATAACTTGGCTGGAAAAGACAGAGCTAATTTACATTGCAAAGCACATACTTATAGCAGGAAAATGGGAAGATTTCTCTTTAATTCTGGAGGTGGAGTGGGGACGGGAAGAGTAGACTACTCATTTTAAGGGTGAAACATTGGAACTCAGCTTGTTTGATGTTATATTAACTGGGGATTAATTACTAAGCTAAGTACATGCAAAACTTTTATCTATGGCTAGTTTGTTCCCCCAAAATCATGCAATGTAGTGAACTGGCTTTCGCACTTTAAATTATTCATTGATCGTATAATGATTCAGGTGATTCATCTTGCAAGATTGACATTGAAACTAACACTCAGAGTAGGTTGTGGTTTAAAGAGCGGAACAACTGCCAATCTCGTTAGTGGAAATTGTGAAGGTTGAATTTATCAAGTATGAACATATATGGTCTTCTTTCTGAGATTTTCTTTAAGATTTTCTCACAGAGAATCTATTTCTTAGGTTTTGGAGGGAAAACTTGAATTTTATTGATCCCTCAGAACTCAATCTTTCAGATTTCAAAGTAGCTATTTCTTTTAATGGGGACTCTATTAATATTTATAAAAGCTCTTCACAGGACGGAGGGTGGGAGGGAAACTCCATCCCAATAAGACAAAAAAAATGAAGCGTGAGGCTCCATCAAGTTCATCACTGCTCCTTGAAATAATCAGTATTGAAAGATAACATCCACCGCACCCCCAACCCAGCCCTATTGCTGTTGCAGTTCAAGAGTCAGAGGTCCCGAAGCTGTAGCTCTTCTACAATCTGCTGCTCTGTGACTCAAGTCTGTCGTCTGCAAAGAAAACTATTGGGTTCCCAAGCAACAGAGGCACATCTGGTAGGACAGATTTTGTGATTGCAAAAGAAGGGGAAAAAAAGGAATTAAAAAAAAGAGAGCTCTCTATACAAGATAACCAGCGGCATCAAACTGAAATCCTCCTGTGGGAAACCAAGCTAGTACTTCTGGGCCTGACGGTGCAGTGAAAACCTATGCTTGAGGATACATTACAGTGAAAGAGCAAAGTGAATAGTGAGTAGCTATTACTTACTTCCTTAGGGAGGTGTCTTGTTTGTCTGTACATCCCCCACAACACCTAGCACATCTGCCACTCACTAAAAAGTCTATCGAGTTAGTTAATTATCGAGATAATGCCCTCGGGAATGAGAGAACAGTGTCCGCTTATTCTTGTTGCACTTTCCACCACTGATTCGCTGCCTAAGAGAGGACTAGGTCACAGGTTTGAACTAACGTCACAAAACTGAATGGACAAGTTACAACGGTGTCGATTAAGGAAACAGAACGCATGGGCCATTGGATATCTCCACCCTGCTGAACCCTTGGAAAAATGCCAAAGATGCATATGCCCAGTCAAATGCCTGATTAGTCTGGGATTGATAGATTTGTCTAGGATTTACTGGGAAGATGTCTAAATTATAATCAGCATAGAAAGTGAAGTCCTCCTTGAAGAAGAGGCAAAGGTTAAAAAGAAGAAAAGAAAAGAAAGTGAAGTCCTTTCTCCCCACCAAAACCTCTCATCAATCAATCAGGGTAACAAACAGAACACTAGGGCTCTGTCTGTGGACCAAACCCAAAAGGCCTGGCCAGGAGGGTAGATCATGTGTTCGTGGCAACTCCCTCTGTGGGCTTTTGTCCAGGTCTGTCCCCAAGCATACGATGGCCACAACTTCTGCACCAGAGCAGCATCCTGCTGTAGCACAGTCAGGTCCAGGAGTGAGGGAAAACTGCCCACTCAGAGTAGATAATATCTGGAAGGAATGACTGTTCGGGAAAAGTTCCAACGCTAGTTCAGTGCCAACCCTTCCCCACCTTCTCCAGCCCTCTCCCACTGGTTCTTCCCCTCCCAACTGCTCTGGTTCTTATAAAAACCTCACAGCCTTCCACTAACATCCTGTAGGAGCCTCTCTCCCTACTGCTGCTACACAAGACCCCGAGACTGACCTGCAGGACGAGACCATGAAGAGCCTGGTCCTTCTCGCCATCCTGGCCGCCTTAGTGGTGGTAACTTCGTGTTATGGTGAGAAACGTTTCTACCGTTTCTCTGTATTTACTTTTCTGCCTCTGACTTTGGCTTACTTCTATTTTTCCTCTCCCTCCTCCTCTTCTTCCCCCTTTCTCTGTTATAATCTTAAAGTACCATTACTTTCACATTTCCCAGTCTCCACGGAAACTGATCTGTTCTATTAAGTCTTTTTTATATCCTAAATATCCAGAGTCTTCTGCAACTTAACAGGCAAACCCGTTCAGTGGTAAGTCTCTATATATCTAGAAACTCAGATCTTTCAGAAAGAAGATATCAAATTCCCAGCCCCCTGCATCCTCGTTTTTAAGGATATTTATTTAGACTTTGGTATCAACGGGTTAAGGGCATTGTTTAAACCACTTGCCTTTGAGAAAATCAATTTTCATGTGAAGTATTAAGTATAGCCCTTTCTAGGGACTGGACAATATCATGAACTTATGATGTTTGTTCGGTTAATGAATTTTAAAATAAAGTTTTACATCAAAACAATTTTAGAAAATAATCATTTTCGTAACTTCTGTTGTCAGAAAATAAATTTTGCCTGTTTCCTATATGTTGTTAAACCTGCATTTGTTCAAAGCTTATAAAAGGAAATCTGAAGCAAAGTTATTTACTTATTTCAGTCTTTTGCTTCAATTATGTGAATATTTTCAGTTTTTAAATTTAAATCACATTAACAAACAAAGATTATGCTTCTCACTCTTATACTCACAAATTTTCTATATCAGAGGATTTGATTTCTTCACCTTCTTTTTAACTTTTGAAAAAAATTCACTTGCTGGCAAATATTAATAGAAGCCTCTTATTCCAAAATGTACCTGCCATGCTCAGGAGAGTGGCAGAAAGAAGAAAACTTCTACTTTGATATTGTTTCAGTTCTCTCTCTGAACTGGCATCATGCCCAGGGTGAGCTGTCAGCTGGAGCCAGTGGTTTCTGTGGCTGCCAATTTTACACAGGTTCTTAAGAGGCTTTCGGAACCCTCTTAGAAACCTGTCCTGGTAAGCCCAGCAGAGCAGCTGCCCTGTAGTTCTCTTGCCTGGAGAAACCTGGCTGTCTTCTGGATCCTTCTTAATCCTCTTTGACCCTGTTCTCAAACAGCCTCTGAATAATCCAGAGAAGAAGGTTCTCTGGAGACTTCTGTACAGCACTTAAAGTGTCTTATTTTGCTTGTCTGAAGACGTCATAGCCCTTGGGAAATTTTAGTTGAAAATGGCCACTCCCTCCTTCAACATCAGAGAAACTAAAATACAGAGATATCCACAGCAAGGCCAGAGCTAGAGAAAAACCTCACAAATCCCAAATTCCTGAAATTTGTAATAACCACACTGCCAAATATATTCTTCACATTTTTACACTCTTTCCTCTCCTTCCATCCCTATATTTAAACTATTACAGTGTCTAAACTGATAAATAATGACATAAGGAATCATTGCTAAGCAGTGATATAACGAATTTTTTTTTAATTCCAGAATCGCATGAAAGCATGGAATCTTATGAACTTTGTAAGTGTATATTTAAATTCTTTATTTAAATCTCTTGCATTAAAGAACCTCTCCCTATTTTTAAATAAACAAGATGGTAAGATATATAACAGGGAGGGAAAAGGGGGCCTCTTTTGAAAAACTAAAGTAAAGTTTTTAATCTAATGACTATAAAAATTGCCAAAGGAGCAATTTTTTAAGCTTGAAGTAGTGCAATATGGGATTTAAGCTACAGGCAACATATTCAGAAGCCATAAAATCTCATTTGGAAATTTTAAATTGGCACCATGTCAACTGCACAGATGGAAAACGAGGAGTAATGACAAATGGTAAAGCACAGAGTTGGACGCCAAGTCAGCCGGGAGACCACAGGCGCCACGTTAAGCTGAGTGCTGTTTTGTTTTTTTGGGTTTTTGGCTTTTTTGCTTTTTTTGTTTTTGTTTTTGAGATGCACTCTGTCACCCAGGCTGGAGTGCAGTGGTGTGATCTCGGCTCACTGCAAGCTCCACCTCCCAGGTTCAGGCAATTATCATGCCTCAGCCTCCCGAGTAGCTGGTGCATGACAACATGCCTGGCTAATTTTTGTATTTTTAGTAGAGACAGGGTTTCACCATGTTTTCCAGGCTGGTCTCGAACTCCTGACTTCAAGTGATCCACTCACCACAGCCTCCCAAAGTGCTGGGATTACAGGCGTGAGCCACCATACCCAGCCAGCTGAATGCTATTGAATAGCTGGATTTATAAAAGACTGAGCATAGGAGGAAATGGCACATCACTCTTGTTTTTAATTTATTCATTATTTTTATAGTGTTTAAACTGTTCATGTACCGGCAATCTAGAGTTATGCTTCATAAATCCTCAGGACAGAGAATTTCTCCTCAAAAGGAATTTAAAACCTACCAAGTAGAAATACAGAAATTAAGAAAAGCAAAGTGATCGTCCAAAGGCAAAACCAACAAAGTCCATATGACAAGTCTCTAAGACACATAGATTGATTACTGATTTCATTTGATCAGGAAGTTAATGAAATCTACTTTATATCCTCCTTTCATTTTTGTCAATCTCTGTTTATATGAGTTGCAGAAATTAAGGCACTTACAAATATATTTGGGTCAAAGAATATTCATGGAAATATTTTCAGCTATGTGTCACTAAAACTGCATTTATTTATTTTCTGTTCTAAGATCCCTTCATTAACAGGAGAAATGCAAATACCTTCATATCCCCTCAGCAGAGATGGAGAGCTAAAGTCCAAGAAAGGTCAGTGACAAACTTCATGAGGAGCGCTCATTTTTCCCAGTGTAGATCACAGATCTGAATTGGAGTGGGAAACAGGTTTTTCATTATATACATTATTCCTAATTGTACTTTAAAATCAAAAACTTAAAAACAATATACAGAAAACAACTGAATTATTAGAAAACTATTTGGGGAAAGAGCTGGAAAGGAGAGGGAAGGAGGAGAGAAAGGAGGACAGAAAGAAAACTTCTATTGTCATTTAAAAAAAAAATCCGCTGTTCTGCCTTCCCTCCCTGGTTTTTTTGGTTGGTTGGTTGGTTGGTTTTTCTGAGACAGAGTCTCACTCTGTTGACCAGGCTGGATTGTAGTGGCACTATCTCGTGCCTCAGCCTCCCAGGTAGCTGGGATTACAGGCACGTGCTACCATGTCCAGCTATTTTTGTATTTTTAGTAAAGACGGGGTTTCGTCATGTTGGCAGGGCTGATCTTGAACTTCTGACCTCAAGCAATCCACCCACCTCAGCCTCCCAAAATGCTGGGATTACAGGCCTGAGCCACCACACCCGGCCTCTCCCTGTTCCTTAAATATCTCTTAATATAGGTGGGCATGGAGAGAAAGTCTCTCCAATATTTTCTTCTACTTTTCCATTTTCTTATTTTTCCACTTTATGTTTCTCAATTTTGGCCTCTTTTTCCACTTTCTAGGATCCGAGAACGCTCTAAGCCTGTCCACGAGCTCAACAGGGAAGCCTGTGATGACTACAGACTTTGCGAACGCTATGCCATGGTTTATGGATACAACGCTGCCTATAATCGCTACTTCAGGGAGCGCCGAGGGGCCAAATGAGATTGGGGGAAGAAAAAATCTCGCTTTTTCTGGAGTCTGGCACCTGATTTTGTATCCCCTTGTAGCAGCATTACTGAAATACATAGACTCATATACAATGCTTGTTTCCTGTATATTCTCTTGTCTGGCTGCACCCCTTTTTCCCACCCCCACATTGATAAGTAATGAAAGTGCACTGCAGTGAGGGTCAAAGGAGAGTCAACATATGTGATTGTTCCATAATAAACTTCTGTTGTGATACTTTCACTTGTAAATCTGGTTTCTTTTGGGAAAATACTGAGATATTTAAATCATGGCCCACCTTACCCAAAATAGGAGATTCTTTTCATCTCATATCTAGTATTGATTAGAAAAATAACTACATGAAAAGACGGAAGTTTGGAAAGCACTCACCCAGCCATAAATTCTCTAAACCCTCTCTACTTTGGAATCCGCGAATGGAATCTGGTATGTTTTTTCCAGGACTTTCCCGTTTCCTATTTCACAATTTCAAATTGTGGCAAATACAGGGCTCACTTCATTTGTTTTTTCATCTCTTATGCATCAAAGTCAAAAACGTTTCTGAATCAAGATAATCTAGAAGAAGAGAAAAAAGGAGGGAAAGGAAAAGAGAAAACAAAAGGGACAAATAAAAAACAATTGGCAAAAACTGTCAATAATATAGACCTAACTATATCAATAATCACATTATATGTAAATAGTCTAAACAATTCAATTATTTTTTACTTCTACATATGTTATATTTTTACTTCTACATTTGCTATAGGTTCCACGCTACATGTTTATTATTCATGCTTTAAATAATTTTAATAATTTCTTTTAAAGTTTAGATAATAAGAAAATATCCCAGGCCAGGCACAGTGGCCCACACCTGTAATCTCAGTAGCCATGACCATACCAATGCACTCCAGCCTGGGAAACAGAGTGAGACTCTGTCTCTACAGAAAAATAGAAAAAAAAAGAAAGAAAAGATCTCATATATTTACCCATGTAGTTTTCATTTCCTGTTTTCTTCACTCTTCTTTCCATCTGGTGTCATTTCCTTTCTGCCTGAGAACTTCCTTTAACATTTCTTATAGTTCAGGTCTGCAGGATTCTTTACGTTTTGTATGCTTGTTTTTATTCTTGGAAGATATTTTCACTGTATATTGAATCCCAAGTTGCCATGTTTCTTTTAACTATTTTAAGATATTCCACCAAATTCTAGCTTGCACAGTTTTTTGATATAAAATTCGTTGTAATTCTTATCTTTGTTCCACTGTATATACTGCGTCTTTTATCTCTGGCGGCTTCTAACATTTTTCTCTTTATTAGTGCTTTCGACCAAATTGATTCACACCTATCTTGATTTTTATTATTTTTCTTGTTCTTGAGGCTTATTGACCTTCTTGGATTGCATAAAATCAGAAAAATTTTCAGCCATTATTTTTTCAAATACTTCCATCTCTCACTCCTCTCCTTTAGAGGGTTCAATGACATGCACATTTGACCACTTGAAGTAATCCAACTCTCTGATGTTATTTCAATTTTTACAAAATGCTTTTCTCTATGTGTTTTATTTTTGACACTTTCTATTAACGTGTCATCAGGTTCATTAACCTTTTCTTTGGCAATATCTAATCTACTATTAATTTCATCTAGTGTATTTTTCATCCCAGACATTGTGGTTTTAATCAGCAGAAGTTTGATCTGGATGTTTTCATATCTTCCATACCTCTGCTTATCTTTTTAAATGTCTTTGATACATTTAAATTATTACAATAGCTATTTTAACATAATGTCAGTTATGGGTTGGTTTGATTGGTTGATTATTCTACTTATGAATCACAATTTTCTACTTTTCTGCATTCTTGCTTAATTTTATTTGATGCCAGACATTGTAAATTTTACCTTTTTGTGTACTGGATATTCTTCTATTTCTGTATGTGCTCCTGAGCTTTGCTTTGGGATTCAGTTAAATCATGTTAAATCATGGATAAAATTAATCAGTATTTAATCTAAGGCTTCAGTTAAATTCAGTTAAATCATGGATAAAATTAATCAGTATTTAATCTAAGGCTAATTATTTCCCTACACTGAGGCAAGACCTTTCTGAGTACTGCGCCCAATGTCCCATGACAATAATCGTAGCCCTGAGTTAACAGCAGCCACTGTTTCCTCTATTCCTCTTAAATGGTAATCTCCCCACACACAAATGCCAATCAGTCCTCTATGTGTACACGAGAGTGCCCTCCACTGATATCCAGGGATCCCTCTCACTCTCTCCTTTGCAGTATTTTGCCATGTGAAATATAGTCACTATGTTTTTCTAGAATTCTCAACTCCATCTCAATTCAAAATGTCCACTGGACTCCACCTTGGTTCCCTCTCCCTAAGCCATGGCCTAGAAACTCCCTTAAAGCAATAGGCTGGAGAAGTCATAGGACTTACTCTGTTTTCCATCTCATAGCAATAGTCATCTTTAATCGCCTCATGTCCAGGGTCTTGAAAGCCATTTTTTCATATGTATTGCCTGTGTCTTTAGTTGTTTCTGAAGAGAAGGTAAATCCCCCCTCTTTCTCAGATGGAGCCTTAGTTCCGTAGACTCCATCTTAGCCAAAAGTCCATTAAAACAGGCAGGACTATTTAAATGGTGATCCCAGCCTCAGACTTCACCAGTAAAATTGGCTCAGACATATACTGCAGTTACATCACAGTTCAAATGCTCACTCTGGCTAGCCCTACTTTCCTCACCCCTCTCATGTATTGTTCCCCAATAAACCACCCGCACACAAATCTCTAAATCTTAGAGTCGGCTTCCTAGGGAACCAAATCTGTGACAGTCATTCAGGTGGTAAATAGTGAATAGTCAGCCAGCATCTTCTAGCTCCAGAATCTTCTTGCTCCAGCTTGTTTTATTCATTATGTAACACTAGTTTTATAGTTTTTGAGTTGGCAAGAGGTTCAGCAATAATCTATTTAAATCCCCTAATTTTTCAGTTGAAGAATTTGAGAGCTTAAAATCTAAGTGACTTAAGTGACTGTCCCAAGGGCAGGTAATTCTATTTTCTTGAGCAATTTACTTATAGTGACCTCATAAAATCTAATTCTTTAAGCCAGTTTCTTAAAGAGTTGTGTACAAATAGCCCATATATTTTTACCAGCCTCCCATTGTATAGTTACACTTTCCAATCTGATGAAGATGTTTTTAATGTAGTTTCTACCTTAGTCAAAATTTTATCTATCTACCATCTCAGCTCTATAATTTCTTTTTTTGATATATCCTTGTCTTTCAGAATTAAGACACACAAAATAGCATGTTACAGGTCTTACTCTCTTCCCCTTTTCTCATCTTGGTAAGGTTTTTCCGTAGATTAATTTAGCCTGAGAACCAAAGTGTTTAACATAAGCAGATTACTCTGCCACCACCCATAAAAGCAATTTGCATCGTAGAAGAGTGTCTAAGAATAAGTACTTTGTAGCTAGGTCTCCCAGTTTTCAATGCCAGCTCCACCACTGAGAATGTGTCAATCTTGGGCAAGTAAAGTAATCTCACTGGGCCTCAATTCCCTTATCTGTAAAATAAGATTATTCTAGTACCTACCTTAGAGTTGCTGTGAACATTAAACAAGTTGATATATGTAAAGTGCACAAAACACTGCCTGGCATGTAGTAAGTGCTCAATAGTTGTTAGCTATTTCTATTGTATTGTACTATTATTACTATGGTCTGGATATTAAAAATGGCAAGACAATGACTCTTTGGAGACTCACACTTATACCTCAAGTATCTATAGTTGTCTATGAAGAGCAGTCTGCAGGATTCATAGCCAAACATTGTAAAGAGCACTGGCTAGTTTGTACTCACTTTACTCTTCCTGTCCTCCACAAGGCCATGGCTACCTATGTTGAGCAGCATGCAGTTTCAAAAAAGACTAGAAAATTAATTATCTTCATTTTTGTACTCACCTGGGTTTGAAATTTTTGTAGCTAAAGTAATTCATACTAGAAAGGAGCTAAACTTACATTCTTACATAGTAGTACTAGTGGAAGTAGTAGTAGTAGTAGTAGTAGTAGTAGTAGTAGTAATAGTAGTAGTAATAGTAGTAATAGTATATGCAAGCACCATGTACCCTTACCCTTTCAATGGAGGGAATCTGTAGGTAATCTGTTGCTATGTGTACCTTAAGTTCTTGATGTCCTAATTATCCATCATTAGTAGCCTTCCCATCAGTTCTTCAATTTTAATGCTTCCTTGTCATAATACAGAACTCTAATGAGAGTGAATTCTATCCTAAATTCATGTTGACTTGGAACCCTGAAGCTTTGCCTCTATTGCCTCTGCTTTGCCTCTATTTGCCTCTGTTTATGAACTAGGGTTCTATTTTATCCTAGGTGGCCCTCCTCTGGAACCCAGACATTGCTACCCATCTGATTATTCCTAGATATACCTTCTGCCATGTCCCTTCCACCAGTAAGTATCCCTGGCCATGGATGTCAGTCCACAACAAAACAGATTAATCTACTCTGCTTCACTGGCAAGAATGAGACACCGTAATCCAGGATGTGTTACATACCCTAAACTACCAAGCATTGCACAGGGCTGTGTCCTCAATAGGTAGACTATATGTGTCCAACAATAATGTGTGGAAGCAGGAGTGACCTTACTTGTCATCATTTGTAAACCACATGAGGAATTTATATTTTAAATTCCTATAATTCTAACCTATAGGCCTGGAAATTGTGGTTTAGGAAGAGGAAATATTTTCACCATGAAACATAGGAAGAGTCTCATTTACGTTCTAAAGCTTCACAGTAACTTCAGGCTCTTCATGCAAGGCGGCAAATGAAGGAGTCATCTTCCTAACAGGGGTAATGGACTTCAGGACAAGGTAGGGCTTCCTAACAGGGGTAATTGATGTCGGGAGAAGGTCATTTCATCAGGAGAAGGTAGGGCTTCTGTTACACAATCTAAGGAGGGAAAGTGAATCTGATATCACTGAAACATCTCTTGATATGCCTGTGCCCAATCATGATACTAAATGGACAGATGTATCAGCCATGATCTAGAAGAGCATAGTGCAGGAGCTCCAACTCTCAAGAAGGGAGCTCTAACTCCCTTACCAGTTAGACATCAAGACCACCAGATATGCTATGAGTGAGCGAAATCTAGAATGGGTAGTTTTTAAGAGGGAAACAATGAGTATTAGCAGCGGCCTTGCAACTATCTGTACCAACACAGGCTATAGTTAATCCCACTAACCTTCA